TGCTCTTTAATATGATAATTATCATATTAAAAAGCAGATTTTAACAACTTTTGCAGATAAATTTTTTAATAAAAAATATACTATGATAATAAATTATTTGAAAATTCTCGGAATCGTTCCCTTTGTAATAAAAAACAATAAGTTCTTTTAAAAATATGCTCAAATTACTACAAGCTTAATTAGCTATGCTGACTAATTTCTGCAAAAGTTGTTAAAATCTGCTCTTTACTATGATAATAAATAAAGTAGTAAATAAAAAATATATGACATAAAAATATACTTTCAAAATACATGAAGCTTGCCCCGACCCGGTACTTATTTACTCTTCGGCCAATTTGATATCAAGCAGTAGTGATATCAGTTTTTACTTAAGATTATAGAGTTAAAAATATGATATGAAGTGTAAATAATTTTCCGACGGCATTTTTGCAATATATATTACATAAGTATTAAAACAAAAGTTTAATAATAATCTCATTAGTTCGAGAATGGTCAACCACCGGGTTAAAAAATCGCATCACAATAGCTCATATAGTTCTAATTGCGATTCACAGACAATACAGAACTATATGGATTTTTTGTATAGAAGTTAATTAAATATATTTTATAATTATATTATAAATGTATTTATTATTTAGATCCGATCTCAATACTGGATATTTCCAATTTAATTTGACTCTTCCAAAACTGGACGTTGAAGGTGATTTCAAAATCAAATTGAACCTGTTGCTCATAAACTATAGCGGTGCAGGTCGAATTTACATCAACATGAGTAAGTATCATTAACACTTTTGTAAATAATAATATTTTATTAAAATATTATAATTTTTGCAGCATTTATTCAACATATAATATTTATTACTTGTGTCCGTTAGAATTATGAAATCATGTAGATAAATCATTTTATTATGCATTTCAAAACAAAACCTTGAAAAATTCCATGTTAATCCGATACACAGCGGGTTTGCAAGTGGAAACTAACAATCAAGAAATGTCATTATCGAACTTTAATTATACTTATATTACGAAACTTTGAATATATTATAAAGCACAATCTGAGTGTCATTGAGCTAAATTTCAGAGTAACGTCCCACAATGTTGTATTGCAACTATAAAACTACAATGCAAAAATATGCAGTAGAAATGAAAGATTTAACCCTTCATGATAAAAAATTCACTATTTTCTAGTTGAATAAATGTTAGCACTCCCAACACCAGGTCGTTAATTTTTTTTTATCAATTTATAAATACGTCAATTGCAAAAATATATAATCATAATGAGAAAATTGCTAACTGACCATAAAAAACACAACGTCACCTAAATTAATACGTATAATAGTGTAACTACCGATGTAATTATTTTCAATGCCATTCGGATTCGCACATAGTTTAATAATAATTAAATAATATTTCAAAGATAATTTATATACGTAGGTACTATTTAGAAGTAATAAAATTTTATCAAATTTATTACTCTCAAACACGCGTGCACCCTTGCATATATATTATGATAACGCTATTCGACATTCGCGCTAGAGTAAATTTCTGAACAAAATCAATAAGTATAATTTTTAATTATTATGATATGAATTTTATTTAAATAAATTGATAATGTGGTATCGCAAAAAATCACTCCTAATTCAATATTAATAATCAATTATATTAACAATGATTGTACTAGGAATATTTTTTATTGTCGGCGTACGAATTACTCCGGACCCAGGCCAGATTAAATACAAAATTGTGTCATATAATAATATTATAATTATTATAAAAAAACTATTCTGCAAAATATAGTTTTTCGGGATTTAAACGTGTCTAAATGCGCAATTTGCTGCGAATAAAACGATATATATTTTCCAATTTTCCGAAAATTTTAGGAGTCTTGTTCGCGTATCGCCCAGGCCAGACTAAATACAAAATTGTGTTATATAATAATATTACAATTATTATAAAAAAACTAAAAATAAAACTTTATATAATTTTCCAATTTTCCGAAAATTTTAAGAGGTTTGTAAGGATCTCGTTCGTGTATCGTCACGTGGTGCTAAATACAAAATTGTGTTATATAATAATAATTGTAATAAGTAATATTTTTACTCATTAGTAATAATTTTTATTGCACGCTAAAAATTAATGACATGATAGTAGCATATGTTACATATACTAGTATAATAATCAATATTTATATATTAGGGTGTGACTGACACGTTTCTGCTATCTCAATATTTATGTAAAAAACGTTTAAATTAAATTTAAATCATTAGTTCATAGTTTAAATTTATATGTTTTTAATTAATTGCCAAATTACTCTCTTTATTAATTAGATTTTGCGCGCCATGATACACATTAGATTTTGTGCGACTGCATTAATATAGCATTAATCACAAATATCAAGTCAAGAGTCAAAGTTTTGATAATAGACAATTCTAAAATGTCTTAGGAATATGCCATTAAACACAAAAATTATAAAAAGAGAAGTTTGGCTGAATCCATTTCAAATAGATTTACACTTGATTAGCAGATTTGGTCAATTTCAAAATCATTGTGAATGATCAGATGATTTTGTACTTTTAAAGCCTTTATTTTTATTCCTAAATCTTTACTAGTTATTTTTTCGGGCAGTTGCAAAAATATCTGTCTAATAAAAAAAATCTCACTTAAGTAAAAGTTTCAAGAAGGTACAAAATGATAAGTCATTTTATTTTTAAATTGGTTGTGATATCCGAAATTGGATTTAACACCGTTTATAAAGGTAGTCAGCCTAGACAATTTGAGAATATAGTACATTCATATTATATTGGTAGTATTAAAATCGTCATATTTTCACACCCGCGAACGTGTTAACTTATTACATTACTATTTCTAGTAATTGCGTATTTGTAGTAATTTATTAATATTACTATTTCAGCTGATTACCACGCCAGGATGCAAATACATGGCTACAAGAAAGTTGTCGACGGAATCGAATACCTCCAAGTCAAACCAATCGACATGAAAATTATTTTGGGAAACAATAAAATACGCCTATCCGGTCTCTTTAACAACGATCAAACCCTTGGAACAATTCTTAGCCAGGCTGTGAACGACAACGCAAGACTATTCTTCCAAGAGTTCAAGCCAACCCTGGAACAAACATTGTCAAACATTTTCACGGAAATCGCCAACGGCGTACTGGCTAGTGCATCTTATGAAGAACTATTTCCTGCCTAAGATTTAAACAATTAATATTGTTTTGGTTATATGTAAGAGTAAGTTTACTTTTGAGCAACAAAAATTCAAAACAATGCACCAAAGTTTTTGTTACGAGACACTTGAATGGCAGATCAACTGTGTACAAGAATAAATCCAACACAAAACTAGTTTGTAAATTGTCTTGAACCCAAATTCTGACAATAAGTTTAATATAAGATATTTTTTGATTAAATCATAAAATTATCAGAAACTATAACAATCCTGCAACTACTTCGTACAAATATGACAACTAGAATAAGTATAGCATAAGTTTAGTCTAGAGCGACAGGCAACCTGAATTGTTAAATATTTTTGTATTGTTTTTATATGTATAAATATAAACCTATAATAGAAACTTCTACATTTGTTTGCTGTGAATAACTCAAAATTGTTCCATTTACATTATATATTCCTAAACTATACGCATAGTATACTTTTTGAGAATATTTTTGATTGTAACTATTTCAGCATGATAGAAATTAGAAACTTAATTAATATCAATGTTGTTATTTAACCAGCCAAATTAATAAGAATCGTTTTATATTATACATCCGCACCCAAACACATATGCATTATATATAGAAAATATATAGTTTTTCTAAAGAAATTACGACATTTTTTGCTCTAATTAGTTCAAAATTGTGTTCATTTATATTCCTGAAGTATATCCACAGTATAATATATGAGAATATATCCGATTGCAACTAAATTTGGCATTATTTAAAGCAGTGTATTGTTACGTGTTATATTGTTTAGAAATTAGAGTCATAATCAAATTTTATGTATGTTATTTTAACAAGTCACATACAAATATATATATATATATACTTTTTTATAATTAGAAATAACGAACAAGAATTATATTAATTCCATAGTTTATTCAGATACAAGTAAATCCATATGCATGTGCTAAATAAATGCAATAAGAAAATATATTGATAACACACATACAGGAAATAAATTGTATAAAAATGTTTATATCAGGTCTAAATATTATTAGTATAAACCAAAAACTTCTCGATAACATATTATCATTATTACATAAAATGAAGAACATACATTGAGATGTATTATACAATGAATAAAACGCGTAAACGAATTAACAATGGTCGTACCGCAAACAATTTTTAAAAAAATACATTTATATATATCTTATTATAAAATCAGCTCTTATTTTTTAATTTAATATTAGAATTTTGTATCAAACAGAGTTTAGATAACATAACGATTCGTATTTTGTAAATTCGAGATAATTTTTATATATCGTTCATATTTGATATAAATTATACACTTTGATTATAACCATTATCGGTCTCATAAAATATTTACATTTTTAATTTTCTCATCTTAGAATTATAATTACAGATGCTTATGTTATTTGTCCAATATCTAATCCATTTTAAAAGTATATTTACAGTTAAAAATATGAAATTTACAAAAACATTTCAAATATGCCAAAGATTGATAAGTCATGTCATACTGCATATAAAAAATTATCATAAAATACATTACAGTTAACTTTTTGTTCTAGTTTAATTCAGTAGAGTTTCATAAATAATTATTTAACTAGATTAGATGCATATATTCACTAAAAAGTAAATTTTCTAGAAAAATTCAAGGATTCTAATAAACCTGTATAACCATAATTATTAAAAAAAATCTAATACATCCACATATCACATTCTTTCATAAAATTGTTCAACTTATTTACATGTGATATATCTCGTATATATTAATGCACATTCAATTCATAATAATCTTCATAATTTATTTTACACAAGTAGATATACAAGTACGATTCCTATCATGAAACAGTCTTTTCCTTAACATTAGGTGTACATTAAACAAGATTCTTAGTTCATTAAGTAGCGAATGCTAATGTTACGGGTTTGCACTCTAAAAACATACTACATCACAACCCTCTGAATGGGGTCACCTCGCATTAGGAGACTGTGCATCATTTAAGTCATACAGTACTTGTGCTATAGTCCTTGAAGATTCCACATTGCTTAAGGCTACACTTGCTAAATGTGGCTCATAGTACCTTAGATATCTTCTACCAGTCCTTGAGTATATAACAATGTTCCTTAAAATCAAAGAAGCAGTCAAGCGTATGCTCTTAGTGACTGGTCCTTCATTACTGTCCAGAGTCTCAGAACTTGCTGCAAAGCTTCGTGCACTGGTAGATGGCCCGCCATGTAATAATTCTTTGGGATTAACATATTCCAATGCATGTCTTTTGATGGCATGCATTGCTGCATTAGGCGCATAAGCTGGAAAATTTGAAGACATAACTGCTGGTTGTGGGGGAGGTGCACAATTCACTTTAGCCACTACTGGTTGATTTGGTTGCTGTTTACGTTTTAAAACAGAAGCTTTAAGCATTTCAGCACTACAATGCTTATCATACATATGTGTCATTAGAGAAAACCTTCTTCGCAATAAATTGTCACAAGATCCCCACTGACACAAAGCTTCTACATTACCTTGTGGGCAATGCACATCACATACATGCCTGTAAACTTGATTTGCAGTATTGAATTTCCTCTTTGTACAACCTGCCCAATCGCATACCCATGGCCAACTAGCCAAACTCTCTTCTTCTTCTGATTTCGGTTTATTTTGAATTTTATTAGCAGTATTAATATTTGATGCATCCGGTGTTTGTGCCCGATTTTCTATTTTTATAATGCCATCTTTGGTATCGTTTACAATCACCCCATTTGTTGTATCAGCCACACTAACTGGTACAAATTTTTGTTCAATTGGTATTTGCACATTCTGCACGTGTGCTGTTTTGGTCATTACCACTTGTTGCCCCTGAGGCGTCATCACAACTTTTTGACCAGCAGTGGTCATCTGCGGCTGCAGAATGATAATAGTTTTTGAACAAGTGCCCTGTTGTTGTGGTGTTTGCGTCACAAACAATGTTTGACCTTGTCCTGGAAGCAGTGCATTTTGTGGCATTACATACGTCTGACCCTGTACAGCACCAGAAAGCATAATCTGACCGCCTTGAGCTGATATCACTTGTGGTGCAGCAATCATATTGTTGTTTTGTCCAGCACTCACAATCTGCATTTGGCCTGTAGGGCCAGACATGACAAAATGTCCTGAACCTTGTATTATATTTTGACCGGGATGCATAATTACTGGAATCGTTTGCTGTTTTTGTGGTATTGGTTTTACTTGATTACCAACTGGCATTGATGAATTTTGTGTTATGATTATATTAGGTTGTGGCAGTGATCCTTCCTTTGTTGAATTGATTGTATCATTATTACTTACAATTGGATTTTCAACATTTTGAACAGGTTTTGGAATTTCATTTACAGGAATTTCATCAATTTCTTCATCTTCTAAGGCATCAGCTGCTAAAGCAGCATAAAGATTAGCTGCTGTTGATGAAACATTTATACGATCTTCATTGGAATCCATATCATTTGACATTTGAGAAGAACTACTCTCTGTATTGTTTTGAATACAATCTGTAGAATCCTCAATTTTATTGCGCTTAGCATCTAGATTGTTATCATCATTAGTTGCACATCGTTTTAAGGAAAAGGTGTCTGCATCCATTACAGAATTGTCATGATTATTCAAAAGAAAATTTTCATTTTCAATTATCTGCTTATCTTTATTTATATTATTCACATCTGTTTTGACTGGCATTCTTGTAGATTTTTTATCTAGTAATTCTGCCAACATTTTATTCGCACTGACCTTATACGAGCAATTAGATTGCATGCTATCTTTTGAATTACTATCATCGTTGTTCAAATTTCCATCTGCATTAAGAGCATTACCATTAAGTATAACACCTTCATAACTGTTTTCATTTTCTTCAGCCGCTGCATCACGAATGTGAGTTACACTACTGGACGCATTGCTATTTGAATCCTCATCTGTCTTGGGTACTTTCACAACAAGCACTCCTCCTGATGACAATGGTGCTAAAGGAGGCGGAGGATCCCACGTTCCTGCTCTTCTACCATCTAAAACTATGGTTGTACTTGTAATTAAGGTTTCGGGATCTACGTCCATAGGCTGAGTAACAGGATTAGGTGATCCATTCACATTGGATTTGTTCACTGCTTTCACAACTTTATTTTTAGGCAAAGCAGGTTTATTAATTTGAGAAGTGACATTAGGTTTATTATCCTTTTGTTCCAACAATATCTTCTGTAATTGTGCTCCAGCGCTATTGTTTTCAGTTATCTTTTTAGCCAACAAACTTTTAATAAATGATGTTTTATTTTGTTGCATCGTCGGACTTGATGTTGCATTGATATTATTTTCTGTTGCGTTTAAATCATGTGGTTGTTGTGATTTAGCTTGATCTGCCAAAAGCGCTTGACTCAAATGAGGATGTGTTATTGTAGGTGACTCTGATACTTGATTATCATCATTTGTAGAACTTTTCATATTATTTTCTAGAGCTAAACTACTTGTCTTTAATGATGCTTGTCGATTCATATAAACTTGCTTTGTGTGACCCAATAAAGACATATTTCTTAACCTAATACCATTATAGTAATATACAGTTTCATTGTTCTCTTTTACAGGATTTGGTCCCACTGAACCACCAAATACAGATCGAACACACCTGGGAAAGTGTAAAGGGCTTATAACACCCTTTCGCCCAATTTTAGAACATGAATTTATATACAATCTGTACAATTCTTGCTGTTCAACATTACTATTATCTGGCTCGAATGTTGATCGAAGCCAAGCCAAGGCAAACTGTTCATTTTCTTGAATTGCCTGTTGATGAGCATGTTGCATTTGCACGGAGCTCTGCATTGAAGCGAAAGACTGAATTGGCTGTGTGGTGTTGGTAGAATGTTGCAAAGCTACTGATGAAACTGCTGCCTGTGTTACTATATGAACTGGCTGTGATGTGACTACATTAGATACAGCATTAGATGTGCTAGGATTGATATTTGAAGATATTACATTAAAAACCTGTGTTGGCTGTGGCATACTCATTGTCACATGTTCAGGAAAAGATGGACTATTATTTATAGAATTATTGTGAATAATTTTGTTAGGCTGTAGAGGTTCAGCTAGTGGCACATGATCTTGTTGAATGTATTGCTGACTTGTACTTGCCTGTGTGTTCATTGTTTGTGATGGGACTGGATTCGATAATGTTTCTACAACCCGCATCAGAATACATGCCTTTGGTCCATAAGTTTGTGCTTCCACTGTCACTAGAGCTACTAAGGTATCTATAACCCCTCGAACTCGTACAATATTATTATTAGCCCTCTCACCCAAACAAGTTATTGAATATAGACATTCCAATGTATAAATTAAAAGCATTATGTCTTGTAAATTTAAAAACATACATACTTGTTCATAAATTTTTTGGTCCAAGCAATGCAGCATTACTACTTCATTTTCTTCATTTTGACTTAATTTATTCAGAATCTCCAAACAGCCCATTATCACAGCCCGGTCTTGAGAACAAAGACCTTGAGTTAATGTGTTCATTAAACAGTCCGTTAAGAAATCAGCGCTGGGATCATTCAATTTAATATCGTTTGCAATATTACCTAACATATCATACCCCATAATTTGCAAGTTATTCCAATGTGAATTAGCACACAATAAAAGAAATCGAACAAATGTTTTATTTTTTGCTAGTAAACTTGTGTTCTCTTCATTAAAACTAAGATTTCGTAAAATATAAGCTACTTGTAATATACGCTGACCAATATAATCTTGCATACCTAGAGTCCGTCCTGTGCAAAAGAGATCTGCGTCTGAATTATTTTCTATATTTGGTGTAATACTGCCATTAATATTGTTTTCACTTGAAACATCACTTGCAAACAAGTTTGCATTTACCTCTTTAGAAAAACTAGAACTCTCACAAATTTGTTGCTTTGATACAATTTTTGCATCAAATAAGCGTTCATCTGTGAGGTCATGTAATTCCATTGAACCCTTGAACGTGTCTTTCCAAAAGCGATCCAAAGAGTGGCCTCGTACATTATTATATACCTCAGTTATTAATTCTCGCAAAGAAATATGATTAAATACACCTGCATGTGCCAAGAGTAAATCAAGTAATCGAGGACATTTTGACATCTTAAGAGGATTTTTGGTATCATTCGACAACAGTGTACATACATTGATAGCAAAGTCTTGTTCATTTGGTAGTGGAGATGTTAATGATAAAACTATTTTGTCATAATTTGATGGATGATACAGGTCACAAGACATATTGTGTAGATCTCTATTAGCATCAGAAACATTGTGTTGATGATGATTGTATGCAAGGGGCACCGTGTGAAGGGCCCTCGCCGACCAACGCCTGTGCCTACTGTCGACATCATCGTCACTACCCCGTTCGGCTTCGTCTCCCAGAAAGTGAACTTTTTCGTAACGATCTAAGTATCTTAAGTAAACTTGTTTTAAGGCCACACTGACGTTCACACATCGGTTCGGTATTTTCAGCTCCTGCAGCAATTCGTCCCATTCGTTCCTGTTGTTTACTTTGATCCAGCCCCCTCTCGCTGTCACCAGTGTGTATAATAAGTGCAAGTCGATATATTGTCCGTTAATCTGCGGTGGGTTAATGAACGGAGTACCCCGCGAATCGTGGAACTGATGCAGATCCTTGAGAAAGCCTTCGCGCTCCCGATTTTGAACCGCAGAACTGCTTTCTGCAGTATCAGCCATCACAATAACAAAATACTGTATTGTTTACAACACAAAACTTATCACTTCGACGCATCTACAAAAGATGCGGTCGACTAGCGAACAAACACACAATGGCGCCCAATGTACAAGCACAGCGGCGGTAACTCTATTTACAAGCTAAACACTACGAAACCATCGATATTTACTCATGTCTTTTAACTTTTCACATTCTTCAGACACACAGCAAATTAATTTGTCCAATAATATTATTATTGTGTAATATTTTAACTCAAACATTTCAGTAAGATACAACCGTTTGACAAGCAAATATAGAAAAGCCCGATATAACTTGTGTGAAGTTGTTAGCACTGTACGCCAGTGCCAACGCACAAGACCCGCATCATCATTTTTTATATCAATAAATACTTAATAAAAAATAATAAATAATTAATAAAATAGGTTTTATTTTGCAACCTACATAACGCATATAAGCGCAACGTGCCTAAACACATCGCGATATACATTGCCGATAAGTAACGTGCATGCACCCAACGCTAAGCTGCTTTATCGCCAGTGATTTAGTTACAACCATTGGACAAACCAACACTTCCATACCTCTTCCATACTTCCCATAAACATTGATTTACTCATTTCATTTTTAATCGTTAACTAAATTATCATATTTTCAGAAATAGCTCTATTCAAACTTAAGAACATAGTTAAGAAAATTAAATTGTAATAGAAAATTTTAATAATTCATTTAAACTAATTAATTATTAATTAAATTAAATTAATAAATCATTAATGTGATATTCAGTTATTACATACTTATTTTAGCCGTATTAACATTATTGAAGTATTAATTTTTTTATTATGCTAGAATTTATTATTTTTACAATTAGTTATCCATATATTTTTTTACTTATGTCGCTGGTTTATGTGCCCGGTCAAATGTATTGTAATGTTATGTAACTTACATAATGAAAACAAACATAAGCCCATAAAAATCGGTTAATATTTCAAGAAATATTTTAATTGAATGAGCCAATTAAATAATGTAATTAATTCATATTCTTTATCAGTAACCTTGGGAGGTACTTCAAATACATCATGACGACCATTGCATTAACAAAGCTGCCACGTAAAGTCATATGCTCAAAAGCATATAGAATTAATTTTTGTAGAAACATGAGTGTAAACAACAATAGTGGACAAAAATTAAGATGTGTGTTTATGAAATCCGTGAATTCCGTGCACCCTGGGACTTTATTACAAAACCAAGTCGAATTAATAAATGATACAAAGGCGACACTTCGTGTGTGTGGTGACTATATAGAACTTCGTAAACGAGCGGTGCGTGTCTTAGGTTTTGGTAAAGCGGTTTTGGGAATGGCTGAAGCTACTGAACGTATTTTAGGCAATGTGATAACAGATGGCATACTGATCGCACCAGTCGGGTCTTTGAATTCGTCCAGGAACAATGTGAGTCAAAAATTTACAATAATGGAAGGCGCAAAAAATAACACAGCAGACGAAGACAGTATAAAAGCTACTAAGATCGCATTAGACTATGTATGCAACTTAAATGAATCAGATCTTTTATTAGTTCTGATATCAGGAGGTGGATCAGCATTACTTTCGCTTCCAGTAGATGGTGCAGATTTTCGAGAAAAGGCGAGGCTGATACGTGATTTGGCAGATAGAGGGGCCCGCATTGACCAAATGAATGCTGTGCGCAAGAAACTATCATCAGTGAAAGGTGGAAGACTTGCGCAAGCTGCCCAACCAGCCCAGGTCGTGGCCTTGACCTTATCAGATGTCATCGGGGATAGACTTGATGTAATAGCTAGTGGACCCACGGTGCCCAACGCTGAACCCGAAAACTCTGCAAGGATTATAATCGAACAATTTGGCATGCAATTGAATTTATCCCCCACTGTGCGCGATTATATTTATGACAGAAAAGTTTCACAAAGTTCGAAGAATGATAAAAATTTTACTAATAATACTAAAACTTACATTATAGGAAACAACGTGATGGCTGCTGAAACTGCTGCCAAAGAAGCTAGGATCTTGGGTTATCAAACTTGTGTCCTTTGTACGACCGTCCAAGGAGACGTTGTTAGTTCATTTTTCATTTATTAAGACCTATAATAGTAAAATAATTAACTTCTATATAATAATTAAATATAAAATAATTTAATGAATATAATTTCAATTTAAAGCAGACGCTAGTATAAATTTGTCTTTAAAAGTTGAATTGCTTTATCGTTGGCATTTGTATCTGATATTCGTTTGGTATGCTTTCATATTTAAATATACTACATATCTAATTATACGTTAAAATAAAGTTCCTGTAACACGTGTTTTAACCTAATATCTAACCTTATTTTAGGTAAATATAAGCAAGATATATACACAAATAGCATTAATAACACAGAGGTTTTTAAACAAAAAGATCGATGTTAAGCAATATATCAAGAGCCTAAATGATATTTGCAGTAAAGCCAATGAAGTATGCACATTTAATAAAAATTATATATTTAATTTATTAATTAATCATATATTGCGTTTTGAATACATTAGCACAACGTAGAGCAAATAAAACTTCCTGCAAATTTAAGTGCAATAGTAAGTTCCTGGCAAGATTTTCGGAATGGTGTTTTGTTAATTTTTGCTGGTGAACCGACAGTGCATGTGAACGAGAATGCAAAAGGAATTGGTGGCAGAAGTCAGCAATTGGCTCTCCTGTTTTCTAAAGATATTGCTGAGCATAATACAGGTTAAAAATATCAACAATTTGTTAATAAAATACATATAAAGAACAATCAATCATTATATTGTTGAAAAGGCTCACATTGGGCTAACTCATAAAAGTGACCAGAGTTCATTATATTCTGCTCGATTTTTATTAGAACTTTAAAAAGTTACACATAATAATGGCGTGCCATTAAAGCCTGCAATTATTTTTAGAGAAATATAAAATTATCAATAGTCGTTAATTTCTGTATGTATATTTCTGCATTGACCAAAAGTTATTAAGAATTGTATATTTGATGATTGATGGCTAGGAGCTTTTCATGTTATTAAGTACTTGATTTTATTCAACTAAATAAAAAAATCGCAGTTAAATTATATATCCTATTTTGCAATAATGATAATAAGTCAATTATCAAAACATTTCAAATAAAATGAAACACATTTACCTTTTAGACAACATATGGTTATTATGCGGTGGAACAGACGGCATAGACGGCCCAACTGATGCTGCTGGAGCAATAGCTTGCAGCAACTTGGCCAGATTATCTGCTAAGGAAAATCTGGACATTGATGAAGCCATAAATAACTGTGATAGCTACAGCTTTTTTTCGAAATTTCTTGATGGCGAAAGATTGATCAAGATAGGACATACGGGCACCAATGTTATGGATCTTCATTTCCTATTAGTAGAGAAAAATAATTGATAATTTTCATTACATAATTTTATAAATTATTATATTTTTATAAAATATAATTAATGGAATTACCATTAATTTATTTAAAAATGAGAAAGTATATTTTAAGCATTGTACTGTAATAAATACAATAATCTCTAGCGTCATAAAATGGTTGTCTTTCTAGAATTTTCTATGTTGATATTATCAAGTCGATAAACATATATAAACAAATGGTAAGTTTTTGTAAATATTTGTTCTCCGAAAAACGTCTCCTTGAACTCTTTCGAAGATAAATAGTAAAATCATGCAATATTCAATAAAATATAGATAAGAATTATAAACTATAAATTTGAGTTTGCTCTTATAGCTTTTCTAAGAGCTATTGGAACTTTCTGAAATTCTGAGTAAATAATTATCTAATAATAATTATCTAATAATAATCTAATAATAATCTAATAATAATTAGAACTTATGGGTCGTATAAGCTTTAGTGATAATGACAACCTAAACAATTGTTTCATCTCTATGTGATGAATTTTTATTTTTACAATTTCTGTAAAACTGATGTATCTTTTATTGATGTAGCAATTTTGGGTAAGGGCTAATTGACTTAACTGGCGAACTGAATTAACTTGGAAACTTATTGCTTTCTATATTTATATTAAATCCTAAACGAGTATTTAATACTTAAAGTGCCAAATTTTGCTTGGCACTTCAAGATGCTTAATATTTTTTAATATCAACAAAATCAAATCTGGTCACTGGAGCAGAGTACAATATTAATACCCCTGCCACTTTACCAAATTTGCTTATTATTCCTTGATGAAGGAGTAGGCGCAGATAAATTTAAAGAGAAAGAAAAAGTCCAGTAAATAATAAAATATAAAACAAAGAAAAAATAATTAGTTCATTAAATTTTAAAGTCAATAAAGTCTCTTCTTGAAATATTAAGTTATATAGATATATGTACATATATAATCGTTATGTAGGAAATAATTGCCAGTTATGTTGTACAAAACATATGAGCTATCTGATAACGAATAGAAGCGGAGTCCTGCAGTCTGGCAAGTGATGCAAACCACGTGTTGATTATAATCGAGGTACTTCGTGTTAAATTGAATACGCCCCCACTGTCGGTTTTGACAGTGTTGCATTAGACAACGAAATAATATTCAAGAAAAAATGAAAAAAATATATGGTAAAAATAAATATAACACTGTAATATAAAAGCTAGTTGACCATCTTCAAGTCATACAGTTTTTAAACCAAACTAAATTGAGTGCATCGAAAGCATTTGCTTGGAAAATCAGCAGCATTTCTTTTATTTTTATTTATTGCCATTTTTATATATACAATTATTTTAATTTATTCATTGCAGAACTCAGAGAAATTCATTCAGTGAATAGAATGCCAACATTTTCAAAATATTTGATAAGGAAGTATTCTGATCTACAGGCTTGAATTATAAGCGATTTTGGAAAAACCGTAAAAAACGGTAAACAATATTTTTACTATATATGTATTTACTCGAAATTAATTCATTTTTTAACAATATATAAAATTAATGAAAATTAAAAATAGTCATAATGTTTTAATTCTACAAGGCGATGAAGTGGAGGGTTTCAAAAACTTGGCACCTAATCATACCCATAATTGAGCCCTCCAAATGATCTGCAAAAAATGTATATTATCAATCTCGAACATTGTCACTATCATATGAATTACGGACACATTGAAATTTGTTTTTACAATTTACAATATAGCGACTGAATAATAAAATCTCAATTTGGGGAAGAACGTAGCTTATACTGAAGAGAAGTCTATAAAGAAGACTCTGTGAAAATTTAAAGAAACGCGGTCCAAATGATCTGAAAAAGAATGTATATTATCAATCTCGAACATTGTCGCTATCATATGAATTACGAACACATTGAAACTTGTTTTTACAATTTAAAATATAGCGACTGAAGGTAAAAACATTTTTTTTGACACTCGAATATTTTAAAAATAATAAAATCTCAATTTGGGGAAGAACGTAGCTCATACTGAAGAGAAGTCTATAAAGAAGACTCAGAAAACATTTAAAGTAAATTGGTCCAGTAGAATTTGAGAAATCGTGGGTATCGTAACGAAAAAGTCGGTTTTGAGAAAAAAGAAAACAGAGAAAAATTATCATGGTCAAACATCTGTATTTCCAAAAATAATGTGAATCAAGAAATTTTACTTGTACACGTTTTCTTGCACAGTTAATCTTGGAAAATGTCTAAAAAAAACAATATCTCAAAAATTATTTTCAATCCTAGATCAGAATACCCCCTTAAGTTAGTCTTTATTACTAAAACTATTCTCGATAATCGCAGAGGTTCATCTCACTTATTCAAATTAAATATTTTCCTCAAGAATTACCATATGTGAAATAATTATCTCTTGTTACCATAATAGAATAGCTAATGAAATTTCTATCTCGCAATTGATTTTTTCCATCTCGTCTCAAAGTTTCGAGCCAAGAACACGTTAAACTGGGTTGATAAGCAAACTCATAAACCGCATGCCGGCCTGGTTAATAAACATAAAGACACTTTGTTAGCAGCAAAATCTTTAATTACGCGGAGCGTCTCGCGTTTATTGCAACCGGAATGAATGCCACAGAGCAGCGCAGGAAAATGCGTTCGGCCGATGCGCGTAGGCCTCGGGTATTGCATGGGTATGGAGATTGGAGCCGGTGTTCAGCATGTCATAATATATTTTTATACAGGCTTATTAGGTGTTTATTGAAAATATTAATGGATTGATTTATATTATAGGGAACTGTGGATTGATTGTGCGTTTGTATTAAGTTATTTACTTGCTTACTTGAGCGCAAATGGCACAAATGAAAGTAAAACCTTAGCTCCAAAGACGTCCACAGAATTAGGGTTAGCGAGGTTCCTCTTTTTTGGTAGCCAAGAAAACTTTAAATTAGATAAGCTGAATCATAGTTAAACTATTGCGTGAGTAAATAGATTTTTTTCCAATGAAATGATGACAAAACTAACACAAATTCTTAAGAACAAAAACTTTGCAAGGTATCAGGGTACCTTCGGTGTAGGTATCAAGGTACCAGTGGGTAGCCATCGGTGGTTGCTAAATATGTAACATTTAAAAAAAAATATCTATGGTAATAGACTTAGAATTAACATAACTAAATTACTTCTATCAAAATGAAGTAGTTAGTAGTCATTAGTTACTTTGCATAATCAATTCGGCCCATTCCAATGATGATGATTGCTCTAACAATAAGTAAAATTAAAATATAAAATAAATTAAATAAATTTAATAAAAAATGGTATTAAAGTATTTCAATTTCATTAGATTTTTCATAATATAAAAAATATTCTCAATTCTATTTTAAATTTAGTAAAATAAATGGAATTTTGATTTTCAACATTCACTTTCAGCTGATAGATTGTATTTATAATCTGATTGTTAAAATATACTGTGAATAAGAAAAAAAATTAGTAAAATTCCATGCGATCACAAACTTATTTCTAAACTTGGAACAAAAAAGGCCAAAATGATTATTTCTTGATTCGCATTAAAAAAACAACATGATTTGGAATTTTGGATAATCCAGACCAGTGTTCCGAACACTGGTAACTTCTACTTTTGTCACATATTTATTATACTTTTTTATATTTGCTAGATGTCCGATAAGGGCAGTTGTAAATGATATGGCAAAATTAAAAAAAAAACTTAAGCACTAATAACCTTTCTAAGTTTCATCTTTTTAAATATGAAGTAGGGTAGGGCGGGCCACAAGGATCCATTCTGCTTTGAGCAATTTCATTTTGAAAAACCAAACCAATTATAACACATATGAAAGAAACAATTATCTGTCCACGTTCAGTGAAACTTCCAGCTAAATCAACATTGTAAAAGTGTGTAAAAGTTCTGTTTTTCAATATGGCTGGTTATACATTTTTTCCCTGTATTTTCAACTATTGTTTTTAAAAAAATCTGAACTTGTTTTTGAGATCGGTCACCAGTGGTGTACTTTTTTACCCGTAGACCTCAGCTCTGCTTTACCTAAATCAATTATTCCACTTTGAGTAATTCAAAGAAGCATATTAAACTCAAATAATTCCGTAGGGTTTCAAATTGAAATGGAGTAATATGTTTCGATTGTTTATTTTCATTCCCTAAGTATTTCCATGTTGTAGTCAACTTGTAACCTTAGCTTAGTTGCTAAATCTCATGTTTAGACAAGTATTATGCATCTTATATATTTATTTATCAAAATAAAATGTCAAAATCGTATTTAATAAGTAAAAGTGAACTTGATTAGCAATAAAATAGCATACATTATCACTATCGCTTGAAAGATTATAATGTAAATGTAATGACTTCATACCATTGAAAATCATTTATGATATGAATCCGACATCCTTCTTCGAAAGACCTTTAGACGTTTTTCTCTGCAATTATCAAATGTGTTTTTCATTGAATGAATTCCAACTAGATTTACTACTAATCACTTATTTAGCATTTAAATTGCGAGTTTTATAACTTCGCAATGGTCAATAATATTCATTAAGCGCGATTCGTATGCAATTTGAGCAATTTACACGTTGCCAATGTTGCGCACCTGTGCGGATTCAAGTAAATAAAACGTTAAGTTTATGAGCCTGACGTACTTTATAACAAGTACATTCATTACAGAGGCAGAAAATGCTACGTGTAAGGATTATTTATTATTCCCGAGTACTTTGGATAGAGCGAATCGGGCAGAAAATACTTTTGGAGACCATAATTAACCATGGCAACAACGTCAATTTTCATGATACTCGGCAGTTTCTCTGAATGATGAAGTTGTCGCATTTGAGGCAATAACCGTTTACAAATCATTTGCCCTTTACTTTAAAATAGCATTGTTGAAAAATACTATACTCTTCTAGTTTTTGAGATATTGAAGTAGAACCTTTTTACCCAAGCTTTGACATTCAATAATAATTTTAATTGATAAAAGAAGAATCAGAAGAAAATTAAAA